TCGTGTGTACGGGGGGGGGGGGGGGGGGTGCAGACATCCACTGATTAAGCCAAATAGTTTTAAATGCTAATAGGAACAAGGTAACTGTAAAGAGCATTAAATGTTGCACCTTGGTGGTTACACCCTGAAATCACTGGGAAATTGAGATTTCGGTTCTCGGGAATCTACCCCATTTCTGAAGAGAAGCTGTTTAGTGGGCTCCCTATGCGGCTGGTTTGGCAGGTTTCTATGAGGGCTGGGGAGGGGGGTCTTAAATAAGGCTGTGTCCATAACACAGAAATATCCTTTCTGAAAGCAGATGGCGGGTGCCCACGGACACAGGACAACTTTTCTGTGACTGTGGAGAAATGCAATCCATGCAGAACTTCTCCACATGCAATTTATGCCCCAGCACGTGGACAAAAAGGAGATCTAAACAAATAGCCAAGAGAACGCTATTGAAGTAGCCTGCTTCTGGTAAAAAAAATATATACAGTAGTCTACTTATCTTAGTATTTAAATTTTAAATATGTTTTCCTATATTTCGCGTAAGGCCGTAATTCTAAACTGCAGGGCTATGATATGAATAAAGAAAAAAAGAGAGAGAAAGATGTTATTAAAATATGTGAGTTTTGAAGTCCGACAGAACTCTTCATCAGGCTCAATTAAAAAAAAAAGATGGAAGAAGAAATTAAAAGTCCAAAAAAAATATCTGGCCAGATTTGCTGGCTCCTGTGTCTGCCGCTGGATTGTGTGTGTCATGCATGTAATCATTCTCCCTTCCCCTTAGCTCAAGGGAACAGAAAGATCTCACAACAACCCTCTGAGGTAGGTGAATCAAAGAGCAAGCCATGGAACCAAGTCATTCACTGAGCATTTATAATTAACTAAGAGCTTGAACGCGAGTCTCCTGATGCTACCCACTCTACTCTACTGCCTTTGGTGATTTCTGTTGTCAGGTTGCCTATGACTAAAGAAGGCAGGGAGCAAAATGTGGTTTCACAGGAAAAGGAATGAGTGAGACATGTGCTTACAATAGACATTTTAGGACACCCCAAAACCCACCAATTTACTTATCAGCTTAAGTTCAATTCAAGCATGGCCAAAAAAAGCAAATGGGGGCTTTTTTCTAAACGAAGATCCAGGGCTTTGGACCAGCAGACCTTCAAGTCGGTCTCTCTTAAGGTATTGTTGGGCTGCACTCCATTTGCCCAAGTCTGCAAAGCCGACATCAGGGGATTGTGGGATACGTAGTCCGACCACCTCCGAAGGACCACACTACCCCTAAGTCCCTGATTCACACTTTGGAGAAGACAAAGCCTCTGAATGATTCATTGTCCTGTTTATCTTTGTAGACATATAAGTATTTGAGTGCCTGCCAGTTTCTCCCGATCAAACAGAGTCTGGCTTCCCTGGATGAGTAAATCAAGTTTAATCTCCTTGATGGGCTTATAGTTCTTAATTCTTTTATTCTTACTTGCCACACTTGGTCTCTTTCCCCATATTTCTGTTTTTTGTTTTTTTTTAACAGTGGACTTCTGAAAGCCGAGGCAGAGACCATGTGGCCCTCTGCGACATCATGGAATTACAATTCCCATCATTCCATTTGGGGGTTTATGGGGCTTGTAGTTTGCCAGTCTCTGGAGAACTCCCCGTCTCCTAACTCTGTCCATCAGTAAAGACGGCTGATAAGGTGTTGCCGCTCGCAATTGATAAATTGCAAGTCGTGGAACTGCCTGGAATGAGTTATTTTTTTCGTGATAACAGACCAGTAGCAAAGTTACTTTTCAGAAATATCATAACAAGTGAGAATAACGATATTTTATTATTATAACAAATCTCATTTTCTTCTTGTTTCAGAATCACTGTCTAAGGCCATTTTCATGACTTTTTTTGAATATGTTTTCTTTTTTTCTGTATGGTACACATCGGTAGCTTCCCAAACTTTTGGCATGCCTGCTTCTTTCATCTCCCTCTCTCTTTCCCTTTAGACAAGACCTTCCCATCACCAACTACAACTCCCATCGTCCTTGGCCATGGGTCATGCGTACTGATGGGAGTCATAGTCAGATAACGTCTGGTGGCCAGCATGTGACAGAAAGGGGCTCTACACACTGTGCCAAAAAGCCCCAGATTCTTACAAACCATGGATGGGAAACCTGGTCCAGCATTCCAGCTCCCATCATCCACATTTGGGATGAGCCATGGATAAGAATAATGGGCCACGTAGTCCAACTTCTAGAAAGATAACAGGTCCCTTCTTCCTGCTTTAACCCCTTCACATCCGGAATTGTCATAAAAATCTGTACTACGGGACGAAAACTAGAGGACGGGATTATAATTATAGTATTACAATAATACAAGCAACTTTCACTTAATTGGGCCACTTCAGCCATCTGTAGAAGTTGCCCCCAGCTTCTGATACACAGCTGGAAGTCCCATTTCCTCACTCTCTCGGCTCCTATCACCTATCCGCTAAATCCTTCCTTTCAGAGCTACTTCATCCAGGTCTCTCTTGCTACGTCTTGTGGCCATGAGTTCCGTAAACAGTCAAAACCGGAGACCAGCTCAGGATAGGCTGAGCAGATCTCTTACTGAAGGAGAGACCCATTCAGAAGATCTCGGGGCTGCCTCTATTTGAGGTTGTCGTTTTTTGGGCCAAGCAAGTTCTTAATCTTGAACCTCAATTTTCACCATCTATGAAATGGGGGTACCAGCAGAATAGATATAGAATGTGATCAGCCACATGCCATCGGCACCGTGTCGAGTTGAGCTACGTTGGGCACCTACCTTGGAGTGTCCATTGAGTTCTTCGCTGTTGGACAAAGTTGTGTTGAGGGGCTCCGTGTACTGGTTTGGGTCTCTCGGTTTCTTCCGCTCTTTCTTCGCTGCCACGCTCCGGAAAGGACAGAACTCTTGACCCACCAACGTGGCCAAAATCAGCCAGCTCCAAAATTTCATCCTGGCTTTGCCAGACATGTTCCTTTCGAGAGGAAAGGGGGTGGGGAAAACCCCTCTGGAGATTGAAATCAAAGGGAAATATATATATATATATACTTTGAGAAAGATGCGATTTATTTTTCTTCCCCTCTCAAAACATTAAAAAAAAAAGAGAGAGACCATTTCTGTTCATGTCGACCGAATGCCCATTGGAAATGATGAGCGAACATGCCAAGAAAGTTGAGTGTCTTCTCCACCCGGAAAGAAAAAGGTCCACCCAGTTTAGAGATTTGGGTGACGGCAGGTCACGGAGATGAAATCCCCAGCTCAAACTGGTCAACCAATTCTAGCAGCCGCAGGGACCACCATGTCACCTTGGAACGCCTTCCTGGGCGGAAAAAATAAATATAAATACTCAAGCATCCCCTTCCAGAGGGGCAGAGGCTAAGGGGTCTTCACATGGAGGAAGGGACAGCCGGATGGAAAGCACGGATGAAAGTGTGTGGGGTGGTGGTGAAGAAATCCCAGCTTGAACCCAAATTTCCAGGGACAAAAGTTCATGCACAAAACCCGGAGCGGCACCCCATCCCTCGGAGACACCTCCGTAGGGACCGGAAAACTTTTCCACTGCAGATGTTTGTCGGGATCTCTAGAGCTTCAAAGCAACTGCTTTCTATAGAACAAAATACTCCAGTTTATATTTATATATATACATATATATAAAGCCCCCAAAAGTCTTCCAGCAGCCGAAGTTTCCCCAGGAGGATGATGAAGTAGGGGGTCCTTCTTTGGTTCGAAGGAGACGGTTTGAGGATGGATCTTTTCTGCCCAGTGTGGAGAACCTTCTCTTGGGTAAACGTGCCTGAAAATTAGGAGGGTGTTGTTTCTGCTTTGCTTGTCCTTGGTTTCTTTCCCTCCAGCTCGCAGGCGTGCAAAGGCCCCCAGAGCCGCTCGCTCGGCAAATAAATAGGACTTCTTTTTTTGCAGGAGAGTTTTCTTGCCGACTTGGAGGAAGAGGGGGGGCCAGAGGAGAAGACGCAGGAGAGGGAGGGAGATTTATACACACAAGGGGCGTAATGACATTGTAATGAGCTGTCACTGGGAGTCTCTTCACACTCCTATTAAGGGGAGCCTGGTGGATAAGCAGAATCTTCTCTCTTGCCAAAGAGATTTAAATCAAAAATGACTTTCTCATTCCTTCCCACTCCCTCCCTCCCTCCCTCATCCATATTATCTTCCTGGAAAAATTGTAACTTTCCACCAACAAATTCCGCACAAACACATAACCACAGAATGCAACCTGATGTTTTTCTTCGGCATTCTCCCCCCCCCCGCGAACCTGATCTGCTATCCCTAGTTTTTAATGTATTATTTTTAACCAGTGTTATCTATTGAGTTCCTGGTTTTAATGGCAAAATCCAGAGACCTTGCTCTCCATGACAGGAGAATCACAGGATCGGTGGGGTTGACCCACGGATGGAATCAACAGGACTATGCTGACTAGGACTGCAAGGGAACATCTCTACAAAGGCAGAGCAGGGCTTTTGTGAAGCTAACGGCTCTTAGTTGCACCTTCAAGGCCAAAATACCCTCAAACACTTGGCAAAGCAGGCGGGATGGTCTTTAAAATATGGGCACTATTAGAAGCGAGGGACTGAATGAGAGTTTGACTGTGTGCTAAATCTCTGGGAGATCCACAGCAGATCAGCAAGGATTTCTGAGTCCTGGATACTTAACAATATGATGAATGAGAACAATCCAGCCAAAACGAATTTGTTGTTCTTTAGGGTGACCCTAATTGGGTTTTCCAAGTCCGGCAAGATGTTCAAAGAACAATTAACCCAGACAGTCTCCAAGATGCATTTCTTTTCGTTTTTAAAAAATACTTCTTGGAAATTCTGCTTAATATTAAGATACTGTATTTGAAGAATTTGGGTGGAAAATAGGTTTCTGATTTCTCCCCCACTACTTTCCGTACTTTATTCTAAATTGAGATGCCAGCTCTCTTTGGCAAACTTTTTTTTGTTTACTTTTGAGTGCTGAATATTTAGAATTTTATCTGTAGACATGCACGGAGGAAGACTGTGCCGACTGCAGGATTGGGAGAGGTTCAGCCAAGGAAGAGATGGGTGTGGGTTGAGAATCAGGGAGGAAAATGGAGCCACAAGGACTGCCGTCTCTGCCACGGCCCGTGCAACCATCTGGGACCATTCAGCCGCGATCTGACAGGTCGTCCTATTAACATGTCATCAAGCACCCTTATGGATGGGTGCCCCGTCTACAGCGACCCCCGAACGGGGTGCGTGAAGACGCCAAAGCAAGTTAAACATTATTAACCAAGAATGACGGCTACGTTGTTTGTCAAGAATGTAAGAGCATGATTTTGTAAGAAAGAAGATGATGGTGTGTTGGGTGGGGGATGGAGAGAGAGAATAGAACAAGGGGGGGGGGAAATAAAGATCAGGTTAACTGTTTAACCACTCTACTGGGTTTCTTTCCCTCCTCCATTTTAATTGTCAATGGATTGAGGGATCTGGTCAGTTCCATCCACTTTCTAGCTGATCACTTCTGGGCTAAAATCTGATTTAAAACACAAGTTTTTTTTTTAATGGCTTTATCCTGAGTCAGACCATTGGGTAACACTGCCTGGTAGACACTTATCAGCACCAGTTTCCCAGCCTATCAGGAACAACCTATACACTCCCAGCAGCCTGAGGACAAAAGGTGATAGCCATTACTGTTGCAGAGATGTGATTCAGGCAGACTTTCGGGACTGAGCCATCATGATTGGGGGACGAAGGCGGGGTTTTGCTCCACAACGACCAATCACAAGAGAAAGGAAGTGTACAGGCAAACTGCGGGAAGGGTGAACACCTTCTGTAACTGAGGTTTTAAGGACTTAAGGAATTCCCATCAGGGTGGAACAGCATCTTACTGGGAATGGATATGTTGGTACCCCAGTATATATCTATATGCTGGAAATGTTGTGTGTAATGGCCGTGTTCTTTGGTTGACTTGAGGACTTTTTCTTGAAGATCTGGTAAGACTCCGGACCTCATGAATTTGAATCAAGGGTGGATCCAATTAAGTGCATGAAATGAAACCCTTCGCTTCATCTGACTTAGCTTCATACAGTCACCCTGCTCCCCACCTTAGCTTCACAACAACCCTTCAAGGTATATCAAGTTTGACTTGAGGTCATCCAACAGGTTCCACGGATGAATTAGATCTTGAACCTTGATCTCCTTGTTTCCGATCCAGCACGTTTGACCCACACAACTGACCTCTTCTCCTCTTGGTTCTTAAGATGAGTTTTCCTTCCTTCCTTAAACCACAGATAACCAACGTTGGCAAAAGTTCCTTTTCTTAACCAGCAGCTTCTGGAGCCCCTGGCTGTGCCGGCTGGAAGCCGAGAAAAATCCGCTGGTAAAAGCCGATGACCAGGTGAATAACAATAAAGAAGAAAGTGCTCAATCAAGAATCACAGAAAACCAGGTTTGGGAGACCTTTTCTGCTTTCCATTTAAATTTGGGTTGTCTCAGAGCGCCCCCTTTCGGATCTTAAATAAAAATCCGAGGTCACGTCGTGTCTTAATAAGAGGTTCAATCAAGCTTTTAAAGATCTCCGAGCAAGAAAAGACCCAGAACTTGGAAAATTCAAGGTGGCTTTTTTTTTAATACTTAGTTTTTTGCTGGTGTTGTTTTTTTTCAGCCCGGAACTCCCAAAATGCTCCTTCCCCGGCCTGGCTATTCTGGGAATTAGAAACGCAGAACGCAATTGGACCCAAGCTCTGGATCACGATGCGACCCCAGAGCATGGGAAACGAGGAAGGTCAAGGTTTTAAGAAGCAAGTCATGTGCTCCGTGGTCGAGGAGCAGCTGGTGGTACCCAATGCCTCTGATGCTTCTCGTAAAGTTGCACGACACATCTTGGGGCCGGCCCTACCATTAGGGAGGACGAGATGGCCATCCTCAGTCAGAAATGCTGTGTGGTCACCAGTTTCTGCTGAAGTCCCGCCACTTCTTTTTAAAAGGGTGCAGAGTTCGGTTCGCTTCTGGAACGAACACAACTTAGAACCCAACGAAAGCCCATCTGGTCTGGGGTTGGTGTCCTCTCGCCTTGCCCCCCCCCCCAGCATCACGCATGAACAGGTACACTGCCGCAGAGTATGGAGGTTCCACCGCTAATTCCAAGACCAATGGAAATATTAAGAGTTTGCTCCTTGGAACAGACCGAAGAGCCACGAATTTCCTGTTTTCCGACAGTGGGTTATCGAATGCCTCCAGGGCGTGCACATCGAACTTAATCGCCCCTCCTTTGGGAAGGGGGGGCAGGAGACTTCTTGAGAAATATCTGTGAATTCCCATCCAAGATCTCTCTCCGGTCCAAAGTTAATTAAAGACCTGGAGCAAATTTGTAAACATTTAAGACTTGTTTTGCCGTCTCTCTTTTCCACCGCTCTGCGATGGCTGCCTAAATAAATATTTACCCCACCTGCGAGAGAAGCCAAAATTCTCTGGTCCAGATGCTGGGCTGTTTCCAGATGTGGCGAGTCTTCTGCAATTAAGCAAGCAGATATTCCCTCGATAACCCCCCCCAAAAAAACAACATAGTTTGATCCTTTTGATGAAGACATCACAAAACCCACAAAAATAAAATTCAGCGCCCCACATTTCTGTCTCGTCGCTCCTTTCCCTGGGAATGGGAGGTGGAGACCAGAGAAGACCAATGATCTTTTTTTTTTTTTTTGAGTCAGGAGCTGGCAACCCAAAAAAAGAGCAAGATCCCATTTTTTGAGGAGAGAGATGGTGATTTGGACAGTGCCCAGGCAGAAAAACAAAAATCTGGCCACATCAGCAAAACAAGGCATAATGAAAGAGAACATCGTGAAGCAGGACTTCCCTGCAAGTAAAAATCAAGTGTGTCAGGGAACAGATATCACCAATCCAGATCTTGACATACTAGCGTTCTACTTGCGCAGTAATTTGAACTCTTTCCTTTTAGCTGGGGAATTTTGCTGTTTGCACTCAACACTGATAGCTTAAGAGCCCAGTATCTCCAAATTCTTTTAGGACTATCCTGGGAGCAGATGATGGGGAAACAGATTCTGTGGCCTGAAATGGGTTCAGCCACAGTACCCATTATCCCCATTCATTCATCGGGTTGGCTGGACTCCCAACAAGCAGGAGCTGCACAGCGTCCACACCCAATGCATCGTGAATCTGTAGAGGGTTAGTCTTGACGGTCAACAATCTGTAGCATTCTGATTTGCTATGACAAGTCTCATCAGCCCCAGGCTGTGTGGATAAGAGCAGGGGACGATAAGAAGTGTGTGTGTGTGGGGGGGGGGTTGAACAGCATCAAAAGAGCTGCACGTGGCTGGAATCTCCGCATTCAGTCCATCTTCCATAAGGTACCACGGGAAAGCTATGCACCTCTCCTCAATTTGTCATGCTTTTGCAAACTCAGAGGCACCATTGATTTTAAAAAACCCTCTGAATTACATAAGACCATGATATGAACCAAACATCAGTTCCTCCAGTCTTCAAACTGTGTTTTCACTGCAAGAATTCCTAGCATTTGAAATACTTCCACCAAATCAGCCGGCAGGTGGACAATGACAGGAACCTTGTGGCTTCCCTAATTTCCTGTTCAGAAAGCCCAGAATAGAGTACTTCAGTGTGTATGTATGGATTCCCAAATTCTGTACAGGATGGACTAACACAGTAAAAGAAGCCGTGGTCTTTTGTTCGCAGGGTGGGAGATCATTCATTCATAGCATTCCCCCCCATAAAAGCCTTCCTCCAGCACTTGAGCAGCTGTTCCAGCAAAAACAACAAAAATTGGTCATGGTACCTTAAAGGTTTTGTTGGGGAAAAAAACATACACGCACCACCCCAAAGGAGCCAGCTGGATCATCACAACTGGTCGTGCAACAAAAACCTTCGTGAAAGGGTCACACGAGCATCACTAGGCACAAGCTGATTCCAAACAGGATTCTACCCTATGTGGTTTATTGGGTGCAGGTTTTCCTGGATCGCTGCCCGCCTCAGCAAAGGAACGGAAAGCTTTTCACACCACAAGCCTTTCCAGGGCCGGATCCTGCTGGCCAATGTGGAGTGTAATTATTGTAACTTTTGACGTGCTCTGCTCACCCTGCGACTGGCAGCTGAATGCGCCAGGGCCTGCACAGTCCAAAGCAACAGCTCTTGAAGGCGCGAGGCAACAAAACCAATCAAGATCCGGGCCTTATGCTTTCTAGGAAATTTTAAAAAAACTTTTATTCTCCATCAATAGCTCGCCTCCTCTCCCTCACTTGCCCCCCCAAACTCTAGAGACATAAAACCCCAAAACGTCGTTGTGCGGGACTTACACCCACCTTTTGGATTAATTCCAACGCTGCTCTCTCAGAAGCCCCCCCAAGAATCCCCCAAATCAGGGTGTGGATTTAAACAGAATTGTCAAGAGCGCAAAAAAAACCCAACATGGTTGTTTTCACAACAGAAGGAAATAAGAAGACTTTGTAGAAGCATACAAGAGATGAAGAAAAATACAGGCTGCAGAGCTGAACCACGAGAAACAAGGTTTGATCCCAAGCGAACAAGCAAGCAAAAATGAAGGAATCGAACACAACAACATCTCGAAAGTGTTTTATAAATACAGATTTTTTTTTTAAAATCACTCCCTGTCACATGGGTCTTCCCCCTCCCCTCCCCCCATCACCCCAATAAGGTCTTCTTTCAATCAGATTTTCCTCCGTAGTCTGGATCCTACCCTGTTAGCGCCGACTAACCCACACCTCTTTGTAGACAAAATTGGTCAAAGCACACGTTCGTCGATTTAGCTAAATCTACGTGGCTCATGGGTTCGTTTCATACTCTCCCTCCTAGGCGTCCCCCTCCGATAAATCCAGCATTATCAAAAAGCTATGTCACAGAAAAAAAGCAAGAAAGGAGGAAAGAAACCTGCTTTTTTTGGGGGGGGGTGTTCTGAGAAGAAGCAGAACGTCACATTCTTTTAATACAGGAGATAACCTTCACTAGAGCTAAGCAGGAAGTTTTAGCAGAACAAAGTGGATTCTCCTTTTTTTTTCTTGTTGTTGTAGAGCAGTGGCTCCCAACTGTGGGTTCCCAGAGGCTCTTGGACCGCAACTCCCAGACTTGTTGTAGAGCAGTGGTTCCCAACTGTGGGTCCCCAGAGGCTCTTGGACCGCAACTCCCAGAAGCCTTCACCACCAGCTGTGCTGGACCAGGATTTCTGGGAGCTGCAGCCCAAGAACTTCTGGGGACCCCAAGGTTGGGAACCCCTGGTTTAGAGGTACAGAGAGCTTCCAAACTCGCCAACGTTCCTCTTGACAAACATCTGCTGTTGTTGAGAAGGCACTAGAGCTTTCCTCCAGGAGGAGGAAAAACATCTAGGGGAGATGAAAGGCGAGGGACCCGCTTGCTATAAAATAAGGCTCAGGCCCCTCGATCAGGTGCGTTTTCCACAGAACGAGTGGTCCTAAGCCAAGCGTTCGGGCAAGAAAATGTCCGGGGAATTTTGGCCACCGTTGGGTCATCTCTTGCCCATGATCAGATGATTGAGGGTTGCGTATGCCAGGGATCTACCCACTCCGGGCCCCATCCTGCCACCACAGCCCTACAGGACTGATCTAAGATCCTCCTCTTTTTTTACCCTCAAACTGGGCAAGGCTAATATACCTACCGTAGACTGCATGACCCCCTAACAGGATGCCAACTCACTACTGCTCAAACATTGAAGAAGGCAATTATCTAGACAGTGTTGCCCAACCTTGGGTCCACAGGTGGTCTTGGGACTCAAAACTCCCAGAAGCCTTCGCTACTACTGGCTGGGCTGGCCAGGAATTCTGGGAGCTGTAGTTCCCAAGAACATCTGGGGACCCAAGGTTCGGAACCATCGATTGAAGAGAAGACCTACCAGTCAACCTCCAGTACTTTTTTGGGGGAGGGGGGGTTAGGAAGGAGGGGAAAATTCAGAATTCTTTAGTTCTAACCATGACTCAGAACAGGGGGAGGAAAGGTAAAGCATCCAGGTGTTGCTGGACTCCAACTCCCATCAGCCCCAGCCACGAGAGTCAGAGGTAAAAAAAATTACAGGAGGCATAATCCAACATCTGCCAAAGGTCGCTTATAGTCCAACGTCCTTTTAAGAAGGCAGAGTTCATACATTCCAATAGGTCAAAAGTTCCTTTAAACCACTCAAAAGTAATCTAGAATCAGCATCTCATTTTGGAAGATAAAAGCCCTTTTCCAGATCCACAATCATGCTTTAACAAAGCCTTGATTGACCTCCAAGTCACAGATTGACAGAGCTTTGCCTCTAACATGTTCCACACCAAAGGAATACACTCAAATTTCTTTTAAAAAAAAACTACTCTGGATTTTAGCACGCACTTTAGTTTTCTTGGGTGAGTGGGTGTGGGAAAACAGGTAGGGTAACTCAACAGCAACACCTGGCCCACCAGGGCAAAAACCTCACATGATTGCAAGTTTATGAAACCGCCTGCCCTCCTTGGGAAACACCGCAAAACACCACCAGCACCGAGCCGGACCCTGCTAGCTCAACGTCGGGCAAGCCAGTCAAGGCCAATCAAGGTCAGTTTCCCCGGCACCAAATTAAAAAGAAACTGACATTATTGTGACAAGCTCATCAAAGAGCAGGCCCACTCAAAACACAGCATCACCCTGGGAAAAAAAATTCCATTTCGGGTCATCACCGTGGCAGGGATGCTCAAAATCCAGCTCCTTGGGATGAAATGGGCTCCTTTCAATGCAAAGAATCAGCCATCTTACTCTGTTTCAGCTTCAACTCATAACCGCTGGCCCTATTTTTTTGGGGGGGGGGGCAAGAGGTCCTATGCATCCCCCTCAGTCACTTGTGTTTCTAAACTGCTGTGGTACCAAGCCTTCCCCCCTATGTTTGGGGTGGCGTTCTTCAAGGATGTGCCTTTACCCAAATAACTTCTCAACCTACAGACCGAATAGGTTTGGTGACCAAAACCGATGTATGAAACATCAGCAGTTTAGGGTGAAAGGAAGGTCACACCATCCAGCCCCATGCTCCCCCTTTTCTGTTTTTTTCTCTACACTGCCCTCGCCTACAGCAGGAGACAGCCAGAGGTGTTTTCTGCTATAATGAGGAAGATTTCAAACGCCCCAAGCCCCTTCTGCCACCACCAGTCCCCTCGCTACTATCTGTCAATGGGGGGGAGACCCAAAGGTGCCCCCAAAACTCTTACACAAATGCTGTAGGGCATCCAGAGATTTCGTAACTGGTCCGGTGTTATTTGAAAAACAAACGTAGTATGTCAAATGTCGCCCAATCACTTTTATAGCACTTTTAACTTGCCTCTTCAAAAATCAGGATTTTTTTTTCATTTCCTCCCATCAGTCCAATCTCATCTGCTTCCAAATTTGAGGGGGTGGGGAAAGGGGGGGTGCTGCCTTTCTCTCCCTCCCAAAACTAAACCCATGAGCCAAACCTGTATATAGAATGTTTTAAAACCTATACATCGTGGTCTTTATCCCAGTATCAGGAATCAGATACCTACAGAGTCCCCCAAAGGCTTTATCTTTCTTCTGCCGCTACAGCTAATTTTGGTCTTGGAACCGGAGGGGGGAGTTTAAGAAGGAGGGGGATTTAAGAAGCGCCTCATTCTTGCGCGATGCTCCTCAAGACGTACTTCACCGTGTAGGCAAAAGCCGCGAAACCAACTATAACAAACAAGTTCGCCAATGCTCCGCCCAGGAGTCCGTGGTTCCGGTTGGCCTGCTGGAGGCCAGGGGGGTTGTTTGGGGCGGCCAGGGGTGCGTGCCCGTTCAGGAGCGGCAGCCCGTTCTGGCCGTGGTGGGGGACGACGTCCGGGAGGGGGAGGCTCGGGGGCCGGCTGTGGAGATCCTCTCGTGCCTTTTGCTTCTGTTTGATTTCCTAAGGAAGAGGCAGGGAGGAAGAGAATCAATCCGACCAACAAAAATCTCAACATAAATCTGTCTACTCGACAATGGCTGGGAATCATAGCAAGACTTCTGTCCCAGAAGATACAGGTCTCTGGCTCTGGGGCCAGAGGTTGGGAGTTCGATTCCTCACTGTGCCTTCTTGGCATGGGCTCGACCTGACAATCTACAGGGTCCCTTCTAGCTCTGCATTTCTATAATCGATCAATCGATTGATTGAAGGATGAACCTCTACAATTTAGAACTCATGGGACACTGCAGCAGTTCTACCTTGGCTGATTTCAATGTTCCGCCTTCAGCCATTTCAGAAGGAAGATCCTCATGTTTCCCTTACAACCCATGTTTTGCCCCCCGCCAAATGTGATAGGGTGGAAACTGTGGAACATGTCCCAATGTACAGCACATGTCATAAAAATGCACACAGTCAACTTATTTCCCCAATTTTAAAGCATTATTCAAGTAATCATCATCTGAGCTGATAAATTTTACATCTCTTTTTCTCTCTGATTCCTCAAGTGAAATTACAGCTAAGGCTGCAAAATTCTGTACAGCAGCTTGTATGGTAAGAAAACAAATGACTAAATTCCTGCAGTCAGATTAAGGATCCATACCTAATCTGTTTGGTAGTGATTGTAAATGTTACATGATTCACCACTGAATTTTGAGGCTGCAGAATTCTGTACAGCAGTTTGTATGGTAAGAAAACAAATGATTAAATTCCTGCAGTCAGATTAAGAATCCATACCTAATAGAAATTTGAATTTCAATCTGTTTGGTAGTGATTGCAAATGTTACATGATTCACCACTGAATTTTACTCTTGTACGCAGATCCAATAATGGTTATATTAAAAATAAAGTAAATAAATGAAGCTAAGCAACATGGTTGACTGAGTCACCACGCACTCATTTTTGAATACTCCTCTGTTAAAATCTAATTCCATGCAATGAAGATGCCTAGCCTATCAGGGGAGAAGATTCTAGCCAATCCACACCCTGTTGAGCTAGTTTTCTACTTCAAGGAATTGCAGGTTCAGATTTTTTTGAAGGTCTGCCTTCTTTAATCATGGCACCCCCAATGTGACACATCAGACAATCTTAACTGGGTTCACCGGGACTGATGAGAGTCTTGAGTCCACAAACTTGGGAGGGTTCCAAGCTGGGAGAAACTTCTCACAGCCCTACATCTCCCCACGATGTTGTTCAACAAATCCCATCTCCCTTGGACAGCAGGCTGCCTGGGGAAGATGGGAACTGTAACCCAACACAACCAGGTTGGGGGAAAAAAGAGAATGTACTAAAGAAATATAATAGGAATTAAGAGTTTAGGACTGCAACAATCAACAGTCCAGGCAGGCGGAATTGAATCGCCTGCTCAGCTAACAAGCACTGCTCGGCCTTACCTCCACCACGTCCGGGAACAATTCACAGAAAACTTTGTCTTTGACATTAAATGCTAAACTCTGGGAAGCCAACTGTCTCTTCTGTTGAGAGAAAGAGAGATCAGTGTGAAACCACGATTTTTGAAAACCAACCCAACTCCGTGAGTGCCTGTGGGCCATCTCCTTTCTGAACACAGCCCGACCACCCTCCCGTCCGGTTACTCACGGTGAATTCAGACGTTTCTATACTGCCCAAAGTGGGGCCCTTTTCAACCATAAAACTTAGAAGGCCAGTCAGGATGGTTGAAACAGACCATGCCGGATTCCACGTGTCCGGGTGGAAGTCGGTAATCGAAAGACACAGCCTGCAAGGGGAAAAAAGCGCACACCATGTACAGAAATCGCCACCAAAGAGCACGGAAGGGGTGAGCCACCAACTTTTCCTGTTCTCTCCAGAGTCACTTCACTCTGCTGAGCACGAGCAGAGCTAGTGCCTTCCATTCGACATGGACCGCAGCCCACGTAAGGAGTACACTGCAAGGCACACACATGTGTGATAAAGAAAAGCTGCTAAAATCTGTAAGGGTCATGAGATGCTTTCTACTTTTTTTCCCCCTGATGGAAATCTATTAGGGGTTTGGAAGTCAGTGGGGCCAAAAATGAGGCGGTTGGGATCCCTCGTTGCTCTCCCAGCCGCTCTCTGTCCTTTTCAAAGACTTGAAAGGTCGTCCTCCAGAGGGAGGGGCAGGATCTGCTCTCGATCCTCCCAGAGTGCAGGACATGGAAGAATGAGCTCAACCTACAGGAAGCCAGATTTGGGCTGAATATCAGGAAAAATGTCTTAACTTACGACGATGGAACCGGTTAGCTCGGGAGGTGGGCAAGCACTCCAATGCTAGAGGCATTCAAGAGACAATTGTACCGCCCTGTGTCAGATCTGCTTTGATTTGGATTCCTGCTTTGAGCAGTGGGCTGGACCCCTTCCCACTCAATTATTCTATGAATCTGCTACTCCTTTTTTTGTTTATTTGAAAAGAGACTTAAGAACATGGAAATGGGAGCACGGTGTTGCTTTGATTTGGGAAGCCAGACTCGTAAAGGATAACGCTTTGCTTTCAAATAGGGACCAAGAAGCCGTAACCCTTATGTTCCTGCACGTCATTGTTACATAACAGCACTGATGTTACCTGTCTGTCATGGGTTTGGAGGGAAAGTTCCATCCTATGGGGAGTGGAAGGCGGGACATCAGGAGGAGGGGCTGTACTGTATAAATATGTGATGCCTGTGTGGTGAAGAGAGATGCTGAGACAGACTGTGAGACACTGGGTTGGGACGAAGCAGCAGCTGGGGAAGAAGAAGCTGTTGTGGGAGTCTGGGTGTCTGACAGGGTACTACTGTGTGTCAGAGTACCAACCTGATAAGTTCAGGTGTCTGTGGGTTAGCCAGAACTGATGGGTTCAGGGTCTGTGCTTTAAGTTAAAGGTTCTGGGTGAACCAAACTGTATGCTTGTGTGTGTGAGAATAAGCCACGTTACTTTATTTTATTCACCTGATTGTTTTATTTACCCTGTTTGTATTTAAAATAAACCTTATTCTTTTGTTGTTTAAAAATCCATCCCTGGTCTGTGTGACTTATTATAGGGAATGGTTGGTGGCAGCTTAGTAACTGTGTGATAGATCCCAGTAGGTCTGGGTTTGTCACAGTCATGTCTGACAGTAATCGTTCCGTGCCAGACAATGTGGATGGGTTTAGAGTCCAGCAACATCTAGGGGGTCAGGAGGGTCCCACCCCTGTTCTGAATTCATTTGCATTAAAAACCTGGGTCTTCCCGGGAAACCGCTTGGCCATTCACTACCTTCAACTTACCTCGTGTTGCATTTAAACCTTCCATTTGGCGTGATCATATAAATACTAGGAGGTTTGAAAGGAAATTCTCTGGGGAAAATGAGTTTCCCGTGGTAATAGCCACCTGAAACATGAGTGGAGGAAAAGAAAACCCATGTTTAAGAGAAGACAAAGCCTTGGTTTGCAGGTTTGAAGAGAAGACCCTCCCCCCTCCTCAATTCTAAACGATGACTTACCTTCATACGGCGTCATTTCAGGGCCTCGCACTACGTAGTGCCTAAAAGAACAAAGGAAAACTGAGTTACACATCTCACATTTTCAGGAAAATGCGTCTAGCCTGGCTTGTTCAAACCATAGTTTGTTCGTGACACTTGAACTCGAAACCACGGTTTGCTTCCTGACTCACCCATCCTGAAATGGGAGGCAATTCAGAGATAACAACCAATCAGGGCTAAGATAAATGTCCGCTTACTGTAGCACAAGCTGTCAGGGCAGTAAATGTAGTTATTTGCCTAGCTCCAACATACGATGCGAGGCTTACCATTCAAGGATATTTGATGGGAGTGGTTCAGCACAAATATAAGGCACTGGGTCTTTCTTGATGCGCAGGTAGTCCTGTTTGAGGCGCTGGGTTGCTGTCGTGGGTGCGCGCTTGTTACTGGTGCTGCTCATCTGTAGACCAAGAGAGAAAGATAAAGACGCCGCCATTCACCACCGCACACTGAAGGGCTAGTGACAGTCATCAGTACCCCAGAAAGGGTGAGTACAGGATTATGATTTTTTGTCCTGTCCCCATCATCCCTGTTCCTTATCCCCATGATCTTGTGCCACTCCCACCCAAGACAGTCAGCAGCCCTGCCAAAAAAAAAAAGGGGGGGGGGATGGCAGATGTACCAAAATATAATGAAAACACTTCATAAAAACAGAAGGAGAAAGGCCCCCTCAATAGCCGAACAGAGCTATTGTCTTCTATCCCAGGTTCTACTGCTGGATGGCTCAGTGGTTTATGTCTCTGGGTTAGGAGCCAGAGGTTGGGAGTTCGAGTCCCCCCTCCTGGAAGAAGAGCCAGCCTGGGTAGCCTTGGGCAAGCTGCACAGTCCCCAGGGCGCCCCCTGGAGGAAGGGAATGGGAAAACACCTCTGAGTAATCTCTACCTGAAAAACTCTGAACAGTGTCATGGTAAGTAAGAACTGACTTAACGGCACATGAGGATGATGAATCTTTCCCTGTTCGTTGTGGATTACAACACCCGGATAGGGTTAAGGAAGGCTTACTTTTGAATCTGGCTTTCCAACCCTCTTTGAAATCATTATTTGGAAAGACTGAAGGCTGTCACAAAAACACAAAGGGGCAGGTGAGCTTGCCGCCTGCTTTGCTCAGTTTGCCGCATCTTCAGCTAAACCCAGCAGTTGCAAAGGTGAAACTGAAACCACGCAGCAGTCGGGAGAATGTATAATTACGGAAATGTCACTGCCGAGCTGGGAAGGAGAAAGGAGGACTGGCAATTTCCAACGGGCGTTCTCCAAGTGGCCGCAGGTAAGGACTGCCTCCAGCCAACTCGGAAACTGCTGTGTAGCTCAGTGGTCGAGGCATCTGGCTGGGGGGGCAGACGTTGGGAGTTCAAATCCCCCCCCCGGGCCTTACTTGATGGGGGCTGGACTTGATGATCCACAGGGTCCCTTCCTGCTCTGTAGGTCTAAGATGAAAATGATGAATTAGGATAAGCTGCTCTCGCATGTGGCTTGCGGGACTCCCCTTTGCATGAGTTCAAATGCTGCGAGACCAGAACAAGGTCAAGACAGACCTCTCGGGTCAACCCCAAGTATTCTTAGCCATTCACTAAATTCAACTAAGTTTTTACCCACACGAGGTGGCTTGCGGCCGCATGGAGAGGGCGGAAAGCTCCGTGTGTTGTTGTGAAAGGCTGTTTGTCAAAAAAGAAAAAGGTCATTATGATGCCAAAAGCTCCTTTTATGCACACAGTAAGCATGTGATACCTAAGCTGTGGAGAGTAGGCCGATTGCGCCATTTGTATGACAGAAAAGATTTACAAACCCAAAAGGAAAACCGGAACAACTTTGCCCACAGATGTTCAATGACTATTCTGGGGAAAAACGGAAGGGTTGGGATGACATACTAACCCAAACAGCTGAAACTTTCTGTTGCAAGCTGCCGTTCGGAGAGGAAGGAAGGAAATGCCAAAATTGGTCTTAGGCTGGCAAAGTTCAAGATTCTGAATCCAACAGGCATTTATTGTCATGATTAAGAATTGGGCGCTCATAATCCCCTAAGAGAGGAGGCACACTTATCCAGCCACAACCAGTAACCATCCTGAAGATCCAGAGAGCCTCTCCTTCCTGGCGTCAACCAAATCATACAACACTGAGCAGAGAACAAACCCTAACTGACATGGTCAGCATCTCGGGGACCCCTTTCCTTATCGCCCTCTGCTCCCATAAGCTTGATGTCATCCCCTGTTCCCTGCCAACATGCAGTCTCCCACCAGGAAAAAATCCTCACGCAGAAAAAGGGGCCCATTAACAGCCAAGGTGCAGGATTCTAGAAAAGATGGGTGTCTCTGCCTGTCTTCATGATGAGGACTTCACCCAACAATCGAAGGGGAGATCCTGTTTAGTAGCCAGGCTGGTGAGGAGACTCTAGCAGCTGTAACCCCCAGAAAAGTCCAATTTCTATGAAACCTACATGTTCAAAGGCAATCAACCTCCACATAACAGATGCCACAGACAAACAGTGAGAAAGGAGACACTACTGTCATCACCTCACTTACGGGTCTCCAAGCAATGTCTAACTGGATATGTGGGGCACACGGAGAGATCATTCTGGTCTCAACTGGCCCTTGGCATGTTCTCACAGGGCCAGGTATATATTAGGCACGGAACAGCGAAATGCCAGGGAGGCATGCCTCAGATATGCCAAACACCTGAGCACCAGCACGGGGAGATGGTTGTCATTCTCATAATCCACATGCCTGAGGCATCCTCGTAAACACTTCCAGTAATGTGATGCCAGACTGATCAGATAAGGAAGGAAGTTATTACAATAATAATAAATAATTGTGCGGTGCCAAGTTGATTTTGACTTATGGCAACCCTTTCCAGAGTTTTCCAGGTAGTGAAGACTAAAAAGTGGTTTATCCTTCCCTTCTTCTGACGGGTGTCCTGGGATTGTGCAGCTGGCCCAAGGCCACCCAGGCTGGCTCTTCTCCCAGGAGGTCCAGTGGGATGGAATCAAACTCCCAACCTCTGGCTCTGCAGTCAGATTTCTAAACTACTGAGCTATCCAGTCAGCTAGTTATTACCCTATGGGGGAATCACAAATTACGGCAGAGAAAACCTCTATATTCAAAGGCAGCCTATCTTTGAATACAAACTGCTGGGAATGACCGAGAGAAGACTCTTGCCTTTACTGTCCTTCTGGAGTGTCTCCATCTAGCTCAGCCCTACAGGGGGGTGCAGAACAATTACCAGATTAAAGACGCTTAGCCCGCTGCAGACAGAATAGCTCCTATGCTTTCATAAAACCATAGCAGAAACACAACGGCCCGTCCTGCATTAGGGACTTCCACTCCCAGAAGCCCTAGTGAGCGGGGCCAACGATGATAAGACACTGTCGTCCTTGAAGTCCCAAAGCTCCCAAGTGCTCCTAGGGTTGTACACCGGTGGAGGCAAAGCCATGTTTGCAAAGGGCCCAGCACTGCCAGTGTCCCAAAAAATCTCTTCGGCTCCCCCAACCTATTTGTATTTCATTTTAATGGCCCTTTATTTCATAGCTCGATGGCTGAGGTCTCTGGCTGCAGAGCCAGAGGCTGGGAGTTCAATTCCTGACTGTGCCTCCTTAATCCTGATCCAGAGAGTCCCTTTCAGCCCTGCAGTTCTAAGAGGAGGAGGAGGAGGATGAAGCCCAGTTCTGTTGCCTCTAGTCTGGCTTCTGTTAGCTTTCTTTGTAAGTTTTTAAAAAATGTTACATCATATATTTTTGTTTTATTTAAATAGCATGCAGAAGCATGTCCTTATTTTTATCTGTAAAATGTCGGATGGCATGCGATCGATAGCCAGGGACAGTCAATCAAAATTATAAACACCTTGACTGGTATTCTATAACAGACACAAGTTTCAACCAAAAACCTGAGTATCTGGTTTTGTTTTTTTTTGTACTCTTGATGGTCTGGCTGCTGAGATCTGCAAGGGCTTATAATACTGTGTGAACTTTCTTGATACTGTTCCCAAAACCCCAATGACTACAGGGACCATCATCGTCGCCCCCACTGTTATTGTTGTTACTACGACCGCTGCTGCTGCTTTTTGTTATTACTGTATTATTATTATTTCCTCCTATGCCGGCTTCCTCTCCCCCCCCCTTTGGTGGGAGCCAAGGC